TTGAGAACCACTGGTCTAGATTCTCAGCTCCGTGAGGCCAGGGATTTTTGTTTTATTTATTTGCAGTGCCTTGCACAGTCTGGGAAATAGTGGGTGCTCAATCCATGGTCGATAATTAAATAAAAGAATGTAAGTTCCAAAGCTAGGACAGAAGAGCTCATTGAAGGATATCATGGCTACCGAAGGGATTGGCTGCCTTGCAGGAAGCATAGGATGCCCGGGGCTCCCTCAGGGACCGAGGAAGGGTTAAGGCCTATCCCGGGGCTGGGTCAGGGAGCTGAATGTGCAAAAACTCTGTAATGACTGGTTGGGAGACCTGGCAGAATTGAAACTGCCAATGGTGCCTGATTAATGAATGTAGGAATCAAGTATTTCAAATCATTTATTAAACTTTCAAGCAGAGAACATATTTCACGACTCAAAAGCTATTGGAGCCCATTTACATTTGCTGTTTCATACAGTTATAAATGGTATGCTGGCATTAAAAACTCGATTTGGGTGCCAGGGACCTGAGGAAAATGTATCTGTAAATATGCCATTGATGTGTATACTCTGCTGTAAAGAAGTGATCAAAATATGGTTTTAAATATGTAATACTGTAAAATTATAATTTGTGATATGTGAACATAAAATGAAGCGCTTGTGTGGATATGCGGGAAGTCAGAGTGTAATTCTTAAAGCTGAAATATCTGTGGGGGGTGATTGGTAAATTGTTGTTGCTGCTTTCTTTCATTATAAATTTTACTATTTTAATGTATATTCCCCCAAATAACAAGATGACAGCATCTTTTAATCAGTCCATATTAAAAAGCATAAACCATACTAGAAAGAACAAAGAAAATTAAGTATATTTAGTGTTAAACCTAACAATGTAAGTTGATATTCAAGTTGCCTTAAAGGCGTTTTTGAGCTGATCTGAACAGATACTCAAATACCAGACTTGTCAGCTCCTTAGATTCAAACCCAGGAGATGGCGTGCTGGCTGGCACCTGAAAGATGGTTGTTAGAAAACTTCAGCTGAGAGGTAAAGTCACACCAAATGTTGCCACAAACATGTATGTCTCCTTCATTTGGAAAAGACCATATGTTGCGGCAGAGCTTCTATAATATTAAGATAGTGTGGAACTTTCCAGAATATCTCAAGGTCGCACTCGTAAATCAAGTGCTAAGTTAGTACACATGTTAAAAATTTGGCTTTGAAAAATACACGTCAGTGTGAGGGTAAACGAAAATGGAGTCCAAAACTGGAAAAAATCGTCACTGTTGCATGCACCGTATTTTATAGAAAGGCAGGGTTCTTCCATGCTTTTATTTACTTTTACAATATACTTTTATTGATTTCAGAGAGGAAGAAAGAGGGGGAGAGAGAAACATCAATGATGAGAGAGAATCATTGATCAGCTGCCTTCTGCACACCCCCCGAGCCCACAACCCGGGCATGTGCCCTGACTAGGATTTTGAACCGTAACCTTCTGGTTCATAGGTGGACACTCAACCACTGAGCAATGCCAGCTGAGCCCATGCTTTTATTTCACAGGTGCCTATAAGCTCTCCCTCTCTCCCCACTCAGTCTGCATACACAAACGTGCAAAGAGATGGAAATACACACACACATACACACACACACGTGCACACACACACACGTGCACACAGAACAGGAATGGTAAGGTATTAACTCTGTAAATCTCTTCATCATTTACCTTCATGGCTCTGCATCCCTGACTTGTGTGTGGGTCTGGCATACTATTTATGATGGTGGGTAGAGACACCCTGGCAGCACTTTTTTTCCTTTATGATTTTTATTTTTACTTGCTAATGCCTGCTTTTAGTTTATTTTGGCACCCCATAATGTGAGTTTTCATTAGGGACTATGTTTGAGACATTATGGGGGCAATATGTACTAACTTACAAAAGGCAAACGCATCGTAAAGTCCTTTGCGTGTGAAATAACTTTGATACCTGAGTACCGGTGTTTCTCCTCCCAGCCTTTGCCCTGGGATGTGTATTTGGCAGTTTAACCTCTTCTGTTTTACTCTTTTAAAAACAGAAGAGGCAGTGGTACAAAAATCAGTGGGATCTCTCCCTGAGGAGAATTTTGTCATCTGAGATAAAAGTGTCACCGATGAGAAAAAAAAAGTTATCAATAATGTGAGTGTTGTCTCAATGTATGAATTTTTTTTAAAATATATTTTATTGATTTTTTACAGAGAGGAAGGGAGAGAGATAGAGAGTTAGAAACATCGATGAGAGAGAAACATCGATCAGCTGCCTCCTGCACATCTCCCACTGGGGATGTGCCCGCAACCCAGGTACATGCCCTTGACCGGAATCGAACCTGGGACCTTTCTGTCTGCAGGCCGACGCTCTATCCACCGAGCCAAACCGGTTTCGGCTCAATGTATGAATTTTTTAAAGGAATCTTGCAATTAAAAAAAGTGAAATTTGCCACATGAAACAAAACGAATACATATTTAAGAATACTGTCTTTATTTAGATGGGCAGCTGTATAGTTAAACCACTGTGCACGTGTTTATGTGTGTGTAGGTGTGTTTATAGTACACTAGCACGTTAAGGGCCATGTCAGTCACCGATGAATGACACTATACTTTCCGTCCGGACCTCCTCAGTCACTGGTGCAGCCAGCATATTGGTGAAATCGGATATCTCAGGCTAAACCGAAAGGAAGACAAAACAGGCTTGGTGCTTAACGTGCTAGAGGCCTGATGCACGAAAATTGTGCAAGGGGCTTGGCCCTTGCAGCCCCAGCTTCGTCCAGAAGGTTGTTCAGCTGTCTGGTCTAATTAGCATATTACAGTTTTATTATTATAGATTAGATGTAATTTGCAGAAACTACTAGCTCTCACACCATTTCTAAGTCGAACTGCAAATATAGCAGCATAGCTTTCCAATTAGGAACATTATCTCTGGAGCCGAATAGCATGGGCTCCAGCCCCCACCCCACTGACTTCCTGTTTGTGTTTCCTTGGATAAATTATTAGGCCTCACTCAGCTTCAGCTATCTACTCTATATAATGAGGATAATAAAAGAACCATAGGATTATTTTGTGGATTAAATCAATGAATAAGCTTAAACCTTGTACAGAGGTGCCTGTCATACACTATGTGTTTAACAAGCTGTTTATGGGTGTGTTTTTTTGTGTTTTTTTTTTCCCCCTCTTCTTTTAGTTTTTGCCTGGTTTCCAACAGAGGTGTTGTTTAGCCTCCTGTCTTAGGAGGTGGGGCTGATGGGAAGTGGCGGTCTTACCTCAGCCAGGAGGTCAAATGCCAGAGGCCAAATGTATGCGATAGGATGAGGTCCAATACTGATAAAAAGCTTAGGGATGATTGAGGGGAGGGAGCTAAGCTTAAAATAGAAATAATCTGAAGTGCCAGGCCAGTGTGGCTCAGCGGTTGAGGGTCGACCCAGGAACTGAGAAGTCGCAGGTTCGATTCCTGGTCAGGGCACATGCCCAGGTAGCAGGCTCAATCCCCAGTGGGGGTGCATGCAGGAAGCAGCTGGTCCACGATGTTCCTCTCTCATCGAAGTTTCTATCTCTCTATTCCTCTCCCTTCCTCTCTCTCTAAAAATCGATAAAAACATATATAAAAAAATAATCTGAAGTCATGTTCTCAGACAGAGGGTGTTTGCAGCCACACCCTTTTGGAGAACGTAGGGAATCGGCCTCAACTGTCTCCACATCACTTCTCCGTTTCAGTGACATATAGTCAGAAATTTCTAACAATATCTATTTAAACAGTTGTTTCCTTATTTTTTTTTAATTGTGTCTGTCCCATAAATAGGCTAGATTCATTATTTTTAAAAACTTCCACTGTTTTCCTTCCTTTTGATGTTCTCCACATTGCCCCATCGTTTTCCCAGAAGACATTATTTCACAGGATTAAGGCAAGAGTTATCATTCATGGAAGAAACCTGATGACCATTAGACTGAGGAGAGAAAGGACAGCCACATTTTCCTGGAATGATTCTAGCTAACATCAGTGTTTCTCCATGTTGAAGTTAGGACGATATGGTCCTGAGTTACTTATGTTTCAGACGTTTGCCTAGGCCGTTGAAAGCCACCATTATCACCTACAGCACAAAGTAAAGGTCACCCAAGAGGAAAGTGCCCAATTAAAAACACAAAAATAGCGCCCTGGCTCAGTGGATAGCTTTGGCCTGTGGACCAAAGGGTCCCGGGTTTGATTCCGGCCAAAGGATTGTACTCGGTTGTAGGATCCTCCCCAGCCCAGACCCTGGTCTGGGCTTCTGCCGGTGGCAACCAGTTGATGTTTCTGTCTTTCCCTCTCTCTTCCACTCTCCCTAGAAATCAATAGAACAGTATCCTCGGGTGAGAATGAAAAATAATAATAATAAAAGTAAATAAATAAGTAAAAACGCAAAAATAGCAAAGGTTTCGGAAGGCATTTTGGTGATTCCTGCCCCTGAGGTGGAAAGCTCCCGTGACCCAGATGTCGCAATGGTTCTCATGGCTCTGCCCTCGGCCCCACACCCACTCCCGAAGCAAAATCACTTCAATACAATCAGTCACCTGTGCTACGTCTTCAAAGCCCAGGATGGAGGGACCGAGCTTATACTTTCTTTTACGTAATTTCCGTTTTGGAACCGTGTTGACATATTTGTAAACAAACATTTAATAAACTCTCATGAAACAAAGGGGCACTATCTACTCTAGATAGTAAAATTACCGAGCGGAAATGGGCCCCTTTAAAAGGACATCAGCTTAGGGCAAAGTTTGATTTCAGGTTCATTACAGAACCAAATTTATTTTCAAATATTTTACTGGGTTGAAAAGTAACAGGTTAAAAAATAATGTTAATTATTTGAAAAAAAAACAAACAAACCATGAATTTGCATGGTTATTAAAAAAAACCCCACAGAACCTCAAATAGAATTATAATTATCCCTTCATTATTTTTATCATAATTTTTTATTTCAAATATATTTTCATTTATGTTTGTCTTCAAATTTCATGTTTCAGTCTTCAGACGTTATGCTTAAGCCTTCACATTGGCTGTTTTCTGCTTGTAACTCAAATATAACAATTCTTTTGGAATCAGGTCAGTTTCTACTCAGGGTTCATCCTGTTCTTGGCGTTTTTGATAGAAGTTGGGATCTTTACAACAAAGAAGACGGAAAACGGCGTCAGAAGTTTGTGGGTACAGCCCTGAAGTGTGATTCTGGAACTTAGTTTCTTGTGAAAGGCCCCCATTTCATCACCATGTTATGTCCTGTGTGTCATGTCCTGGGAGGAAGAGCCACCATTTTGCCTCCCTGGACTGAATGAAATCTAATAGAGACAATGCCCCGCACAACCCCTTCTATACATTCCCCTTCATCTTGTTATCAGAAAAGCAGTATAAATGCAAGCTTTAGGGTACTCTGTGAAAAGTGACTTTATTTCCGGAATCCTGCTCACTAATGACACAATTGTATGTTGCTCTCATGAGCACTAAAATTGAAAGTATAATGATTGTTTTGATAATATAATTGGTAGTATAAATTTTAATCGTTGAGAAGAACTGTAGGGTGGGAGGGAAAAGAGCCTAAATTCTTCTTTTCCTTCAAGATAAACTATAAATTGTAAAAGTCAAGATCATTTTTAAAATTTGTTCTACGATTTTGAGACTGCTTTCTGTTGCCCTCCCTCCCCCCAAAGAGGTTAACAAACACTAGAGAGTATAGAGTTTACTGTACCAACAAAATACATTCTTTCCTCAACGGCTGAATAAGTCCATGTGTGTTTATTGAATAAATGAATACGCTCTGGTGAAAATCAGCGAGTAGATGAATGAATGGATAAACGTAGTGGTAGCACAGTCCGCTTCCTCTTTGTTATTTTTAGGAAACAATACTTATTTTAAAGTATTACAAAAAATTCATTGAAAGAAATTGGCTGAAATTCCTCATTTTCTCTTATGGTAACAGCCAGTTATAGCAGGATGGGAACTTGGTAGGTTACAAGATATTGTTTATGTAGGTTGAATTACCTTACATTTACAGAGCTTTTGGGAGTCAGTAGATGAGAATACATAAATTATAAGCAAAAGGGCAGTCAGCACTCGTCTAAAAATAAACATCGGTCCATGTAATTACATCCTAAATAAAATAAATAGAAATGGATTAAGAAAATTACAGTGGCTTAGCAGAATTCCATGTGTTTTCTGTCCCTGTTTTCATTTGCTTTTGATGGTGACTGGTATTAATGGAACACCATGCACTACATATTTTGAAACATTGAGCCAGAAGCAGCAACACCCAAAAAGTATATTAGATGTCTTTAGTGACGAAAAAAAAATTAAAAAAAGCAAATATGGGCTTGATATTGTCATGGTAGGTTTTAACTCTTGGAGGAAAAGGTTGAGGAAACAGGTTAAATATCAGTATGAACGGAAGGCTTGGAAGTCTCAGGACACTTTGGAGAGTACAATGAACCTTCCTAAAGCCAGGGAACAGAAAGAGAAAGAAACCACGGTGGGAAATTGCAGGGAAGACAAGAGCCTTGCTGACAGAGAAGCAAGCCCACATTAGCATAAGTCCTGGCTCTCATGGGCCCTCAGGGGGCTCATTCCCCAGGAATGTATCCCTTGTGCGAAATAGAGGACTTGTGTAAACACGCTCTGTAGACATTTGAAAATGCTCGAATAACAGCTCTTCGGGGGTTACTACGTAATTATTTCTAGCTGTTGCATTTATTTATCTTGGTACCAATTTATAGGGCTAGTTTTTGACTTGGTGTTACATACAGTGTCTTATTTCATAGTTTGAAAAAGTACATACACCGCCTTGGAGAAAAATGCAAACATCAGTGGCTTTATTCAGTGAGGAGAACAACTGGAAGCTTATTTCATAGTATTTTGTAAATGAATAGCTGAATGTAACATTATATCCATGGCATGTTAAAAGAAATAAAAAAGGAGGAAAAAAAAAGGAAAAGATTGGGAACTTGGGCTTCTGCATAAACCTCTTATCAAAACACTAGCTTTTGATTTTATCTGAGCTTTACTATAGAAAGTTTTTACCATTTTTACAAAGCCTGGAGGAAATTGCTGAACGAGAAAAGCTGAATGTCATTTCAGGCTAATCTTTTAGTCACCCTAATAATAGGAAATTATTTAGTTCTTATTTTTCATAGTAGTCCATTTTGAGCAATAAGAATCATGTAGCCCACTCAAGGATATTTCAGGAAAACTGATGTGATGCTTTTAAAAAATGTACTTAAAAAGTGGGCACATAAGTGTTTTGCATTACGCTACTGTTTTATCACTCAGTTCTCTGCGTGTAGTTAGGAAAGCTAGCTGAAAATGACCTTGAGGTTTATTTATAGTTTGGATGATTAGGGATGGGGCATAGTCAACAAATTATAGGTGTATTCTCTTTCTTTTTACATTGCTGTCATATTAAATATATAAGTAAGTATACAATACATAATATTGATAAAATATGTAATATCGATGTGTTCTTACTTTTTTAGGGAGACTAAGTAGGGAGCAGATAGCTGATTTGGTTGGGGATGGCTGAATTTAAAGAAAAAGCACCTGAAGGTCATTCTCATAGAACTGATAGGGCTGTGTTATAGGACAGTGCTGTTATATTCAGAGAGAATATACAGTCAGGAAGAGGGATAGAAAGACAAGTCTTAGTGATCTCCATATAATCAGCAGTCAGAGCAGAGGAAAATAAAAGAAAGCGACAGAAAACTCATGGGTTAATGCATAGTAGGAAAGGAAGATGGTGCATTACCAAGAAAGACAAAAGAAAGATACGTAAACAAGTCGTGGCTGGTGCCAGATGCTCCAGAAAGGACAAGAAATGGGAAAAGGACACTGAGTCCAGCAGTTAAAAGTAACCTCCGAGAAAGCAGTTTGAGTGGAACCGGGAGGGCGAAGGTAGGATCCCCCTCGCACACTAGATTCCAAGGTGAGTCACTAGGAAGTTGGCAGGTAGGTCTGAGGGCTCAGCAAGTTTAGACAACTCTGTGGAGACACTGAGTAATAAAAAGAAGAGGAGACCTGGATGGCCGCTGGAGAGTCCAGCAGGAAGAAGATTGTCATTGGACAGTGGATGTTTGTTCCGCCAATGGAATTACATTTTTTCAGGTAAAGGAAGTCACAGGAGTCGGAGAAGAGAAGAATGGAGATTCATGAAAGTAGGAATAAGGGAGGGTGAGTCAAAAAGAGGTCACCCTTAGGAAGGAAGAGGAGCCCAGTCCTTCCTGGGAGGTAGGGTGGTTCCCTCCCTACCATCCCTCCTCTCGGCCTTCAGTCTCAGCTCCATTGTTGCCTGCCTTGTGCTCCCACTCCCTGATGCATGGCTTTTTAAATCCTTTAGTTTAACTTTGCTGTCCTTACAGTCCTCTGTTGACTGCAAATTCTTTGTGGGGAGAGGACATGTTTTACTCAGGTAAACCTTGCTTAATAGGCTCCCTTTTCACACGATGCCCTGTTTTTCACTAACATCCAAGTCCGTGCTACCAGGAGAAAGGTTTCCCAGCCCAGCCTGTTCATTAGAGTACATGCTGACGGCTAATTAGCTACCTCTGTGAATGTCAAATGGTGTTTCTAAAACAAACCCTTAATTTCAAATGAATGGGAAAGGTTATGAGATCAGACTGTTTTGTGTGTGTTTTTTCCTGGTTAAAAATGTCACAACATGACAAAACATCACTTAGAACTTAGAAGCGAAGGCTTCCAAAGCCAGTTAAACATTTTAACCGTAATTCATTGTAGAAAGTGGAGGCATTTTATTGAAAAGAAAATAATTTAAGAAAAGCAAATGTTTGCTAAATGCTGTGGTTTACACCACTGTTATGTCAGTCGAATAAGATTGGGTGATGCCCTTAACTTTTGGTCTGATCTGCACTCTAGGCACAAATCTCTTGCTTCGAATAGTTAAACTATGTTTTCTGATTCTTTCTTGGCGAAAGGAATTCTAAGCAAAACTTAAAAATGAAAGGTTGCCTTTGCCTCCCATTTAGAAAACATGCAAATATGTTTCTATTTGTTTATAGTAAGTTTATTGCTATTTGTTTTATGGTTGCTAGTCATCCACTTTACTTTTTATATCTGATCAATGATCTGTCTTTCTGTCTTTCTTTCTTTTTAAAAAAGAGCTCCATAGATACAAAAAGATTATAGCTACTGTTTTCATGGTTTTAGACCCAATTTTACACCAAAAGTGAAATATTATATCTATTTACCTTTCTAAATTATGTAAAGCCATAAAGTTTATAATGTATGCTGCTTGATCTTATTCCTCCTGAAATATTTAGTTTTATTGCTATTTCCAAACAAGTAGGGAAGGAAAAATCGAAGGGTGAGACAATATATCTAAATAAGTAAAATATGGCACATGCCAACTTTTATATATTCATTTTTCACATTTTTATTATTATCCAAAAGTAATTTAAAACACTCACTGATGCCCTAGCCGGTTTGGCTCACTGGATAGAGCGTTGGCCTGTGGACTGAAGGGCCCCGGGTTCAATTCACATGCCCGGGTTGTCGGCTCAATCCCATTGTGTGGCATGCAGGAGGAGCTGAGCCATGATTCTCTCTCCTCATTGATGTTTCTCTCTCCCTCTCCCTTCTTCTCTGAAATCAATAAAAACGTACTTAAAAAATAATAATAAATAAAACACTCATTGATCATTACTGTTGTGCAGTTGCACAAATATCTTGTTCTGAAAATTCCTAGGACAGCCTGAGAAGGTCTTTGAATGTCATTAGAATTTTAAATTGAAGCCCCATTTCACCCTGCCCACCTCTGTAGGGCCACCTCACACCACTCTTCAATGTGGACTCTTCTCTCCTGCCTCCCTGGAGTTTCCTACGCACATCTCACTGTCTTACACTTGCACTTCTCAGCATTCCGTCTTCTCATAAAAAACTTCCCACTCTTGTTTTCTGAAAAATATATTTTTATTGCTTGCTAATGACTGATTACTATAATCTTGTTGCATTCATTTCCCTGACCCGTCTTAGGCGCGGGTGCACCATTTCTCTCCACTAATACTAGCAGTTGTAGTTCATTATTAATAAATACGTATAACAGGATATTATAAAACTTAAGTTATGAAATTTTTATTAAAACGTTTCTTACATGCCGTTATATTGGCTGGGCCATAAAAATATCCGTTGTGGGCCGCATGCGGCC